AAATTCCCAAAATCAGAATCAAATCAACCATTTTCGATCACAGATTCAAGTTGCAGAATCATCTAAAAATCGCATCTTTTTCATAGCTTTTTGAGGTTTACTCATCGAGAGAGAGATTAACGGCTATACAAACCGTGAGTGATTCCGTACCTGAGCTTATCGTAAGCTTAAAACGATCTCCGAACCTGTTAACCAAGCCCAGTCAAGTCTTAGAAACTCTCTTATTACAAGAAACTCTTTTAAATATTATTATTATTAATATAACCTTTTTAAATTCCCAATATAAACTTAACTTTTCAATTTTCGCAAGAGATTTATAATCTTCAAAACTATAGTACTAGTATAAAACTTCAATTTTTAACTTTCTCCGCATAATGAAGACTAATTATTCAATCATCAATAGAAGAAGATTACATTTTGGGGGAAAAAGAAAAAGAAAAAAAAGTTATATACACAACAAAAATTAGGGATTTTGATTGGTTCCTCAATGCAACAATACAAAAATCAATGAAGAAGCCCTCAAATCCTAGCTGTAAGCAAGTTACTTGATCATCTTCTTCACTCCACAGCATCAGAGCTCAAAGTCTGCAACAAAAGACTACATTTTTATCAGACCTAACTCAGAATTTTGATAACAAATCACCCAACATTGGATTTGTTTTCGTACCTCAGCTCTTGTCAATAAACAATCGATAAGCTTCTCTCAGGAGAAGCTCAAGCTGAAGATTCAACGTTCGGGTTCCTTGTTTCTTCATGCTCTCCGGAAGAAACAAGGTTTGGATCCGAGTGTCTGAATCAGTCCCATAAAAGCAAAAAGATTGCATCTTTTACATTGTCGGAAGTGCGTTATCACTGCTCAAAAGCTGATGTTTTATCAGATAACTCTGCAACTCTACAGCTTCCTCTACACATCCAAGCTCATAGTGTTTCTTCAAGACACTAATACAAAGAACCTCATCAGGGAGTATTCCTTCCTCGATCATTTCTTCAAGGAAGGATCTCGCGTTTTGCAACTGATTGCATTGTGATAGTCCCCAGACTAATGAAGTGTAAGCAAGCAAATCGAGCTTCATACCAAACTCAACCATTTTGTCTCGTAAAGCTAAAGCCTCCAGCACATTCCCTTGCTTCAAGTTCCCATCCATTAACGATGTGTAGGCTGTTCTGTCTGGAACTAGACCCTTCTGAGCCATTTGTTCGAAAAGAGTTGTTGCGGCCTCAACTTGATTCTCTTTACAGAGACCATCAATCATTGCTGTGTATATCGCTGTGTTAGCTTGTAGACCAAAATCTTTATTTATCCTCTCGAAATAATCAATCGCCTTAGATACTAACTTGTTTTTGCACAATCCATCAATCAAGACACAAAAGGTAACAACTGTGACCTCGATATCAAGTTCTACCATCTCTTCCAGCAGACGCAACCCCTCAGTGGGATTTCCCAACTTAAAGTAAGCGTCAATTAACGTCGTGTAGATCATTGTATTCGCTTTAATTCCATGTTCCTGCATTTCATTCATCACTACCTTAGCGGCCTCGACCTTTTCTAGACCGCACAAACCCCAAATTGAAGTTCCATACAGCAGCAAATCTGGTTTCATACCTTTCCCCTTCAATTCGTTTAGAAGCTCTAACGCTCTGTCCATGTTTTTCGCCCTTACAAATCCATGAATCAGAGCGTTGTAACTCGCAAGATTTGGAATCACACCAGCTGTATCCATACTGTTGAAAAGTTCTTCAGCTTCTTTCATTCTCTCTACATCACAAAGGCCGTCGATCAGTGCAGTGTAAGTAACCACATTCCATTCAACACCCTCCTGCAACATCTCATTCGCTAGCCTAAAAGCATCCGAGAGATTACCGATTTTACAATTGGCATCAATTAAGGAAGTATAGGTATATTCATTAGGCACAAGACCAACTCTTCTCATGTCAACATAAAACTTGATGGCTTGTTGCATCATACCCTCCTTACAAAAAGCATCAACCAAAGTACTGTAACTCACAACATTCGGTTTCAACCCATTTTGCTTCATCTCCCTGTAAAACTCCAAACCCTTAAGCAATTTCCCGAATTTACAGAAACAATTGATCAACGCGTTGTATGTTATAACATCAGGCTCGCAACTCATACTCTTCATTTCCTCGAAAAAGTAAACCGTATCATCTAATCGACCAACCTTCCCATAACCATCAATCATAGAATTATATGTGACAGTGTCTGGAAACAAACCTCTAAACTTCATTTCTTCAAACAAGACTCTTGCAGCTTCTATATCACCTTCTTTACACATACAATCTATCATTATATTGTAAGTAAACACAGTCGGTTTCGTACCAGCACCAATCATGTCTTTGAAAAATCTCTTCACCCCATCCTTCTTCCCCAATCTCGAAAACCTATGCAATAAACCGTTGCAAGACCGAGTTTTCGGGAAAACCTTAAACCTCTTCATCTTAAAGAAACACTGAACAGCTTCCTCAAGCATCCCTAGATCAATCAAAACACTAAACAAAGCATCAAACACTCCAAAACCAGGAACACACACATTCCTTGTAGACCATAGAACATCGAAAACATCGCAGTCCGGAAACTTATCAACCATCTCTCTAAGGATACTATTAGCATCATAATACATTCTACCACAAAACAGAACATGCGCTACTATACAGTAAGATTCAACGGTGTGATTAAACCCATCACGATTCATCGACCATTTGAAGAATTTGGAAGCTAATTTCGGATCTTCTTTCAATTCAACGAGTACCCTCGAAACCCAAATCGGACCCAATGTCGAATCAAAAAACTTTTCGATTTGAGGATCATTCCATAGATCATTCTGAACAACTTTACGGATCCAATCTCTATCGAAATCATCGGGAGATGT